TAAATGTCTTTATCATCACTTTTGATCAATTTAAAGCATCCTTGCTAAATAAAAGTATTAATTTCTATCATTTTTCCCAAAAAACAAAAACAAAAAAAAAATCTATACTGACTCCAAGCTTTTGAGTGTATAATGTTACAAAAGCTTTATAATTTCAGATAAATGCTAATCTTTGCATGTTTCTATTCAACAAAGAAAAAATGCACTCAACTGTTTTTAAATATTAATGATGATAATAATATAAAAAAATGTTTCTCGAGCAGCAAATCAGCATATTAGAATGATTTCTGAAGATCATGTGACACTGAAGACTGGAGTAATGATGCTGAAAATACAGCTGCGCATCACAGAAATACATTACAGTTTAACAGATATTCACAGAGAAAACAACTGTTTTAGATTATAATAATATTTCACAATTTTTACTGTATTTCTGATCAAATAAATGCAGGCTTGGTGAGCAGAACAGACTTCTTTAAAAAACATTAAAAATCTCACTGTTCAGAAACGTTTGACTGGTAGTGTATATATTTTGATGTCTATCTGAATGCGTGTAACAAATGTATCAGTGATGTGTTACTGTGTCACCTGGTCTGTGTGGCGGCGGACACCTGGATGCCCAGATGATGAGGACGGGGCAGCGAGCCGATGAAGCGCAGGTCAGACGCTCCGAACACTCGCACCGTTCCGCTCGCACAGCCGCAGAAGATCAGATCCTCCGTCACCGCCAGAGAGCGCGCCGAACCCGTCTGCAGCACGAGCACACGTGAGCAACAACACGTCAGCACACGCGTGTCACAGGCGAGAGGTCATGTGATCCGACTGACCTGCAGGTGCACCCAGCGGTCCAGAACCCTCCGGCTGTTGAACTCACACAGCAGACCCGACGCCGTCACGCAGAAGGTGCTGTGGGACCTCAGGCCTCGTCCACACGCCACGTCACAGAAGAAGTTATTCTGCAGCTCCCCGAGGAGCCCTGAGCGGCCCATCAGCGGCACGGGACACGCGCGCTGCAGAGCATCATGGGAACGCTCAATCAGTCACTCGATCACAGCAGCTCTAACTGAACTTAACCAAGCTTCCATTACTGTACAAGAACCATCTTCAGTGATCATCAGCTCTTAAAGTCTGAAGAAGAACATCGTAATCATCTAAAGAACTTGTTTCCACTATAAAGAATCATTAGTGCGATGGAAAGATTCATTTAATGTTCTTAATGGAACCATCAAAGCCAATAACGATTTTTTATTTTGAAGTGTGTACTTATGTGCCAATATCTGAGTGAATTTATTCCACAGGAGAAAAACAAAACAAAACAACAAAAATGTAATTAAACGTTAAATTAAATTAAAACCAAGCAAAGATCTCTATCTATCTGATGGTACAAACCAGCGTCTGAAACGCTCACAGTGAGGTCAGTAATGAAGAGTTACGAATGTGAGCTCTAAATACATTTGACATTTTGTTTCAAATTGCAACAATTTAACGTATTTAATTAAATATAACAATTTGTGTACATTTGTAATTTTGTGCAATAAAAAGACCAACAAACTTCACAATTAATTTAAGGTATTAAAACACAAATACAGCAGAGTGGGTAACGAAATCCATTCAAACTAACCAGCAGCATCTAGCTAGTTCAGGCAGAAATGTTGGCTTGTTCATTTACACATTTAGTTAATAACTAATAAATAATAAATTAAACTAGATTGAAAAGTTTGTAGACAAACTTTAAGTTGGCTTGAAAAAGCCTAGCTAGAAAGTTTGAAAAAGTTTGAAAAGCTTGCAGTCTGAAAGTTTTCAGTTTGAAGTAGATTGAAAGTTAAAATAGTTTTAAAGATTAAAGTTTGAATGTTTTCAAGGCAATACAGTCTATCAGAAAAA